CATTAACACAGCTTGGCAAAAAGAAAGAACCCCAAGTAGAGATGTTGAGCTTTAAATGCCATATATTGGGTGTATAGGGTTAACTCTTCATTATTCAACTTTGGTTGGGGCTGAAATAATGATTGTAAAGTGTGTTCTCTGAGGTATTGGCCCATCTGTCTAATCTTAGTATGCCACGTAATCTCCACCTCCCACAACCAACTGTATTGTCATGTATCAACTGGAAACATAAAATAAGGGGCTCCACAATTAACCTCTCTTTCCCATCCTTTTTTGGGGGAGGGATGGCTCAGTGGTTTGAGCACTGGCCTGCTAAACCCATGGTCGTGAGTTCAATCCTTGAGGGGGCCATTTAAGGATCTGGGGCAAAAATTGGGGATTGGTCCTGCTTTGAGTAGGGGGTTGGACTAGATGACCTCCTGAGGTCCCTTCCTACCCTGAGATTCTATGATTCAAACAACAAAAAACAAAAAAACCCTTCCCACTCCTTTGAAGTTCTTCTGCTATGCTCTCTTCCACTACGGTGCTGGAAGCTTGGTACTAAACTCTGCACTTCGTTTAAGAAAATTTGTCATTCTACCCCTTGCATAAGATACAGTGAAATCCAGCATAATATGACATAATGGCAGCTTGAAATATCAACCCTTCCTGGCTTCCAATTCTAACAATGGGTAGGTTTCCCCCTGTTTCGATAACTGCCTAAATTACACAATCAAGAGGTTCAGTTGTATCAGTCATTTCTGCTGTTGCTTAGTGCATTTTCAGCTAACGGAACTTGTTGGTGAAAGCTGAGATCTGTAGTCAGAAGGTAAATAGCTGGTTTGGTAATGACTAGTTTAGATCCTGAGAAAAGCAATAAATAGCCTTCCTTATTCAGACAAAAGTTGTCTTAACTCCAGTAGGGACCCAGAGCGGATACAGGATCGTCTGAGCTCTTGCATGCACAAAAGCCAGTATGCCGAGATCTAAAATAAAGTGATTTCCTTGGTGCATCGGAAGTAAAAAAAAAAAAAAAAAAAGAAAGACTTTGCCTTTGTATTTTGTTACATATTAGGTACAAACTCCCCCCCTCTCCCCACATTCTCTTTAGGAATATTGAATATTCTTGATTCAGAACTTGGTAATCTTGGTTATTGGCTTGTTGCTATTTTATACGTCTTAGTGATCAGCAGTTAAATAAAAAATTGAAAGTGTCAACTAGTTTTACGTAAAGAAGGCCAAACTAGCGATAATAATTTTCTTTGCCTACATCTCTGAATGGGCTTATACTGAAAAAGGCAATGTAGCATTAAAAAAAGGAGAGAGATAAATGAATGGCAGAATAAATAATTTATGCTAATGAAATTACTGCAATTAGTAGTTCCACAATGACCCTTTTAAAAGCCACAGCTGTTAATGTCAGGAAGTGCTGTCACTGCTGACCTTATCATAAGAGAAAGTGACAAATTGAAAATGCAGGGAAGACCAATCATCAAAGAGGTCTGTTCGGGAACGATTAGAGTTTTCTGAAAAACAGTGTGAATTACAACCAGCTGCTCTCTGGCTCGGCATATCTCCCATGCTGTGCCATTTTGTTAAGCTTGATAACAATAGTTATTTTGCCCCATTGAGACAAGTTGTCTCAGGCCACTTGCAGCTCTACCGGAACCCACTTCCTCCCTCACTGATTTACAAATGAAACTGTTGTTAAAGAGTGCTTTTCAGGACTGTTGAGTAGAGACCTCTCATAAGCATCATGATTGGGTAGGGGCCAGTTACTCTGTAAGAAGGTTGCCCTTGGCTAGGATGGATATCTGTACTGTAGTGTTTGTGTGTATAATAGACATTTAAAAGTAAAAGACTGAAACAGATTTCTGCTTGTGACCAAATGTGCATAAAATATTTTTGTTCATTTCCTTGCTTTAAGAAACAGATTTCTGTATTGTATTTTATATTAGCTGTGTTATGCTACCTTGGCTCCAACAAAGGATGTGGAGACTCTAATTTATTGTTTTAAAGGCAATTTATTTCAACTTTCCATGTATGCAATCGTTCTGTGTTTAGTTCCTGCTTCCGATTTCTGTTATTGCAATCACAGGTGAAACTGTTTTTTTAAAGCTAGCTTTTAAAGCCACAAAATATAACGAGGCTTCTCACTAAGAAAAATTGTAAGTCTGTCTACACCAACCTGATTGTAATATTAATGATGTAGGTTTGAAACATTTAACTGCATCAGCAACCACTCACGAGCAATTTTCCAAAAGATCTCTAAGCATTATTGACAATGCTTTGGTAAATTATGTGTGTCTTTCCTAAGAGTTGGTGTAGCTCATTTAATTCATATTAATTGATTTTTAGGCTTCCCTTGATTAATTGAACTGGGTTCGTCTTGTACAGAATGCAATAAATTATCATTAAAATGAGGGAGATGTGACTCCACAGATTATAAAGTTAAGTACATTAGAAGTCAGAGAGGACAAAATGGAAAAAAAAGTTTAACCCAAGAAGTATTTTCCCAAGCTCCAAGTTCTACAGAATATATATGTATATATGCTAGTGACTCTAATTTTCTTAGACTTGTATTTTTTTAATAAAAAGCCCAAAACATTTCTCATGGAAAATTAGCTTTTCATTCCAAGCTTTATTCAGTAAATAGTGCTCCAGATCAAAGCCCCAGGGTGGCATATCTCATCTGCTGGGAATTTTGGAATGAAAATAATTTAAAGACCTGCGCTTAGAACGCTCCTTGTCCTGTCCCTTCCCATCCTTTCCATTTAACTCAAGCTAAGTGGATAAAGATGGAATTTCACTTTTGTCCATGTTTTGTGCTTGGCATGGGACTACGTGAGTAAATATTATTCCTTTCAAGAGCTTTAAATATGCTTTGCCTGTTTTGATTACCATGTAGTATATTGGAAGAGGTTATACATTCTAAAGGATCATAAAGTAGGATTGTCAAATTAAAACTATAGGAAAGAAGTTATGAAGAAAAGCTCCATTGGTGAGTACAATATACATACATCAGTGGCTCTCAAACTGTGGGTCAGGACCACAAAGTGCATCGTAACACCATTTTAATGGGGTCGCCAGAGCTAGCTTAGACATTCCCGGGACCAAAGCCCGAGAGCTTCAGCCCTGGGCATCAGGACTCAGGTTACAGGCCCCCTGCCTGGGGCTGAAGTCATTGGGCTTTGTCTTTGCCCCTGTCATAAAAATGAAGGGAAGGGTAACCACCTTTCTGTATACAGTGCTATAAAATCCCTCCTGGCCAGAGGCAAAACCCTTTCACCTGTAAAGGGTTAAGAAGCTAAGATAACCTCGCTGGCACCTGACCAAAATGACCAATGAGGAGACAAGATACTTTCAAATTTGGAGGGGGGGGAAACAAAGGGTTTGTCTGTCTGTGCCGGGAACAGATCAGGAATGCAGTCTCAGTACTTCTGTTAGTAAGTAATCTGGCTAGAAATGCATTAGATTTCCTTTTGTTTAATGGCTGGTAAAATAAGCTGTGCTGGGTGGAATGTATATTCCTGTTTTTGTGTCTTTTTGTAACTTAAGGTTTTGCCTAGAGGGATTCTCTGTTTTTTTAATCTGATTACCCTGTAAAGTATTTACCATCTGGATTTTACAGAGGTGATTCTTTTACCTTTTCTTTAATTAAAATTCTTCTTTTAAGAACCTGATTTATTTTTCATTGTTCTTAAGATCCAAGGGTTTGGGTCTGTGTTCACCTGTACAAATTGGTAAGGATTTTTATCACGCCTTCCTCAGGAAAGGGGGTGTAGAGCTTGGGAGTATATTTTGGGGGAAGACGTCTCCAAGTGGGCTCTTTCCCTGTTCTTTGTTTAACACACTTGGTGGTGGTAGCATACGGTTCAAGGACAAGGCAAAGTTTGTACCTTGGGGAAGTTTTTAACCTAAGCTGGTAAGAATAAGCTTAGGGGGTCTTTCATGCAGGTCCCCACATCTGTACTCCAGAGTTCAGAGTGGGGAAGGAACCTTGACACCCCCCTCCCCCGCACTGGGGGTTTGAGCTGAGTCAGGCTTGAGTCCCTCCCTCTTCCCCCCCCCCCAGGGTCACGTAGTAATTTTTATTGCCCAAAGGTGGTCACGGTGCAATGAAGTTTGAGAACCCCTGACATACACTAAGTAATGGATTAAATGCCTGACCCAATACTCATTGAAGTCAGTAGACTCCCTTTGACTTCCAATGGCATTAGATTGGGTGCAATCCTGTTCTTTTGAAGTCAATGGCGGTATCCCCAATTGACTTCAAGTAGGAACTGGATTGGGGATTATGACATATGTGGGAGTCTGTGGGGATCAGTGGAATCAGAGCAAGACCATCATGCACATTTTTTTACTTGACCTGAACACTATTTTTCAATCAAGAGTTCCAGAAGTGAAATATCAAATTCCTAGCACATTAACTCTACTTAATAGTACAATGGTGATTAATTATAGATCTTAACATTTTTAGCCTTCTGTTGGTGTTTTTTAAAAATAACTCAAATCAGGGATGCTGGAACAGGGGGCCATGGTCTCATCACTTTTTACCGGCTGTAAGGACGAGCAATGGGAGAAGGGGAGCAAGTGGGTGATGGGATTTTGGAGGAGAAGAGATATGCAGCGGCGGGGCCTCAGGAAGAAAGGGTGGCACGAAGGCAGAGGATCACAGAGAAGGCACAGTGTGGGACGGGGCCTCCGGGAGAAGGGGTGTAGTCTCAAATATATGGTGAAATGATGCATAGCACTCAACTGCTGTGGCAATGAAAGTCTTGTGAGTACTGTGAGAATTATTCTAAATTGTAAAAAGTTGGGGAGACTCAGTTCGATTATTTGAATACTTTGTTTAGTGCACTGAAAGGGTTATGCTTTTGAAATGGAGTTTGAAAATTACTATTGCTGGCAATCCTTCCTTAGTTGTGTAACTGCTTCTGAGGTATATAACTGTATTTAATCTTTGAAATATTCCTTTGCCCTGTCATTTAGATTTGTTTTTGTTCCTTCGATGTTTTCAGCCACGTGTTCAGGATTCCATTTGCCTTTTTATGGCCTATGCTCACACCAGTGTCAATGAGATGAGTGAAAAATATTATCAGAACGAGAGGCGGTACAATTACACCACTCCAAAAAGTTTCCTGGAGCAAATCTCACTTTATAAGGTCCTGCTGGAGAAGAAATACAAGGAGATGTCCAAGCGCATGGAACATCTGGTGAATGGCATTCAGAAGTTAAAAACAACAGCTTCTCAGGTAAATTATCACATATAAGGAAAGACATACTCTTGTCTCTCTCTCTCCTCTAAGGGATGCATTTTTTTTTCAATCTGACCATGGCAATATTAGTAATCTTATATTGAAACATCTCTGCACCTTTTCAGTAGGCTGCTGAGTTCTGGCACTGCCAGTCCAGTGCTGTACTAGGTCTTTGAAGCTGGATTTTATTTTATGTAGTGCCTTTCAAACTCCCAAGTACGTGTAGATGACTGTCAAGGAAATGGGTTACTATCTTAACATTTGAGCTAGATTGTGGCTCAAAGTCAGAGCCTGCCCTGGAGGGGTGAGACGGGCCCCAGAAGAAATTTTGGGAGTCTCAGAGTGCAGTAGCAGCAGGGCCACCGTAGGAGAAGGTACAGACGTGCTCCTGTCTGTGACAGCTGGCTGGCTGATGGGAAAGGGAGGGTTAGAGGGGTGAAGCCATGCCATCATTTCTTCCTGTCTCTTTTTAGGAGGCTAAGCTAGCTAGCTGTAAACAGTGCCTGTGCTCCCCACCAAACTGTGACTCGTCTCTGCACAGGGATACCAGGAAGAGAAAAGCTCTTTGGATCCTCTTTTCCCTTTTCAGCCTCAGACACATGCTCATGGCTGGCAATTTGTTTGCTAAAACTAAGAAGTCCCTGTGTTTATAGATCTAGAAAGAACATTCAGTTGCAGTGTTTGCATAGCATTGCAACTTTGTGCTAGTGCATGAGAACCAGGGGGGAAACTTTATTCCTATTGTTCAAGCTGAGGGATGTGAAAAAAGTAAACAGCCAACATAAAAGCTTTTTATTACTGTATTAACAGTCAGCTTTAGGATATCACATGGTGCTCATGAAACAATGCCTCAGAGGGTTAAGTGGGAAGATTCCCAGGGTTCTAACAGAGGCAAAGGTGGGGAGAGGTTGTGTAATAATTTTTTTTTTGGGGGGGGGGGGGGGCCTTCAGCATTTCATCTTAACGTTTTCCAGCAAACAAACAGAACAGCTCTCAGATCTTCTGCTGGCTTTGAGGTTTAAAGCCACTACTACTGACTTGGCACCTGTCTGTATCAGGTTATAGTGTATCTCTTCTGATTTGATACAGAATCATATCATGACCAACAACCAGATAAAGTGCTTGAATGAGTAAGAAAAACCAAAGAAGAATAAGAAGAATATATATTTTAAGCACTTCCATTATGCATGGAAAAATACTGTTGTTGAATATTTTGATGTGGGTGACTAGCATGTCAGGCAATAAATTGCTCTTTCAACAGACAGGTAGCCTTTGTTAAACAAAACCTGATTTTTTTATTTATTTATTTTTTTATGTAAACCCTTCAGCAAATCTCCATTAAAATTATCTATGAAAGGCTTTTCAGAACGATTAATGAGCATTTTGCAACATGTCCTGTTGCTGGTGTTTATACAGTTGCATCTACGTCAGGGCTTGCAGCACCTTGTTGAGCTGCTTAGACATCTGGTTTCAAGAACAACCTTGGTCTCTCATAAACTGGACAGATCACGGTTTGTGCCCATCAGAGGAGGGGCTGAGGTTTTGGCGGTTGTGGTTTGATTGTTTTGTATAATTTTGTTAGTTCATTTAGAAAGCAACAAACTTCTCCCCTGAGTTACAGAAATGGGGCTGTAGTATGGAAACAAATCATAACAAGTGAAGATGAAAAATAAGGGATGGATACTATTTTGCTTTGAAATGGAACTGAAAACAAAGCTAAAGTACAAGTTATATCCAAGTGTTATACATCCCCCTTCAGGAAGTATACTTGTTCCAGAACTGTGCCTGATTAATGGCTACTCCAAAAAATTTCTTCTCTGTTGCACTGCAGGTAGAAGACCTGAAATCCAAACTAGCCTCTCAAGAGGCAAAACTACAACTGAGAAATCAAGATGCTGAAGCTTTGATTACTAAGATAGGGCTTCAGACCGAGCAAGTGAGCCAGGAAAGAGCCACTGCTGATGCAGAGGAGCGAAAGGTCAGTCTAATTCCACCATTTAGGGTTGTTGAGCTATATTTAACACAAAATAAACCTTTGTAGGTGAACAGTTTTGAAAAACTTCCTCTCTAGGGAGCATGAAGTCTAAAAAATGGTCTGAAATGCTGTTACAAGTATAAGTATATACTTGTAACAGCATTTCAGACCATGATTATCATTTGACCTTTCTTTACATTATGCATTTTCTCAACCTTTTAGCTTTTAATGATATGAAAGAACAATAAATACTGAGCTCATTCAAGCATATAATGGATGTGGATCTTCAGAATTGGGCCTATCTGTAATACAGTAATGGTCACAGAGTCTTCTCTGAGAACTTTAGGTTTCTAAAGGCTTTGTGGTTGTAATTAAATTGAACAACTCAATTGATATCAAAGTCCATTCCATTGCCTTACATTTATTTCCAAATTTTGAATCCTAAAATCCTTCCATGGAATGTATAAGTAGGGTGACCACATGTCCTGTTTTGGCCAGGACAGTCTTTTTTATAAGCCCTGTCCCAGCCATCCCGACTTTTTTGGGAAAAGTGGGGCATTTTTCCTGTTTGCTCTTGCCAACTGATCAAATTTGCAAGAGCAAATGGGAGAAATACCCACCTTTGTCAAAAAAGTGTGAGCAGCAATGCCAGCCCCATGCAGAGTTTGGATAGGGAGCAGGCAGAGCTCGAGCAAGCAGTGACACCAGCCCCAGCCTCGTGCAGGGGTGGAGGTGGGGCACAGGGCAGGCAGGGCTTGAGTGAGCAGTGACACCAGGCTTGAGTGGGGAGGGGAGCTTGGGCAAGCAGTGATGCCAGCCTCGCATGGCCGGGGTGCTCCAGCAAGCAGCTTGGGCCAGCCCCAGATGGGAAGGGGGAGGTGTTGGGCAAGCAGCTCATGCCTGCCCCATGCATCAGGGTCGGGGGGGTGCTCAGGCTAGTCCCATGCAGTGTCCTGTTTTCCTTTTGGGAAATAGGGTTGCCCTATGTGTAAGCAGTTTCGAATCTTCATCCTTTTTCTCTGCTCTACTCAGCATATGGAATTATCTATCAATTTTATTATTAAAAAGACAAAGAAACTAGACTCAGATTCAGGGTTTTATCCTGAACCGAAATGTTTAAACCACGAAATGAAGCATCCTATTTTTGCACTAAAAATACAGTGACTATACCTTTGTTATCATAGCTATTGATCTGTTGAAGTCCCTCCTACCCTGTGGCCTAATGGACTTCTGCAAGCTTGGCAGTTTGCTGTGAAAACTTGTGTGTTGTCTCCATTACCGACATCAGAGAGACGACTTTCCTAATGTTTCAGAATAGCAATTAAACTGTTTTGGTGTAGGGACAGGTAACTCAAGTCACAACAAATTTTGTAAACTGAGTTGAGAACAGTCACGGTCATACTATGCTGTCTGTAGGGCTGTCAAAACTTTCACCTTTTCTTGTGGCTATCCTTCATCCCATAGCTGTTGACTTGCTACAAGGGTTACTATTCGGGGTGCTTTATTGTTTTAATGCAACTTTTTGAGCCTCATTCTGCTTTTGTTAAAGACGGTGTTTTTTTGTTTTGCCACTGATACAATAAGGGTCTGCTCCAGTTTCTACTTATATCTCTCCACTTTATGCTAATTATGGACGTTAACCTTGGCAAATCCCATTTTATACAAGAATTTAAAAGATTTGCCGTACATGTTAAAATCAAAGTAGCGCCACTAAACTTGCGCAGATTGGATTGCTCAGGAAAAGCTCCCCATTTTTTTCAATCACCTTTCAGTGGACTTTTTATTGCATCTGTTCTGCATGTTTCCGATAGATTTAGGATTGAGGAATGTCCTTGTCACAATTCAAATTACTTCATTAAGCAATTAGGTACAACACAATTAGATATCCCAGGCCATTTTTTCAGGCTCGAGGCAAAGCCTCCTGCCTATAACAATTGCAACATTCCCTTTACTTGTCTTATTGCTCTGCTAAAACATTTTAATTGGGATGAAGTTATCTGTGTGTGTGTGTGTGTGACACTAGTCCCAAGATATTTTAAAAAGCTGCAGATGGTCTATAAAGACTAATCTGCACCTGAAACTTTTTATAAAATGTGATCAGCAAATGAGAATTCAAGCAGTTTATAAATATTTTTCAAACCATGGAATGTTGGCAATTAATCACACTTATTTTAATTACTTTAGTTTAAAACCTTTAGAGTAGGGAAGTGTGACAGGGTCCCCAGTGTGCAGCCTGGCCTGTGGAACTGCTGAGCCTCTCTAAACCCACCAACCTGAGGTATCCCTCACATTTTGATGCTGATGTCAAGCTACAAACATCTAATAAGCACTGAACTTACACAGACATCCACAGGCAGGGACATACCTGTGATACATGATCTCCCAGCCACTCATGAACTATCAATACGGATGCTCCAGCCAATTCCTTCCAGCTCCCCACCCTTGCACCCCAGAACTGTACCATCTTGCACTGGGTCAGAACCCTTGCCAGTGCAAGTTCATTGCCTAGTTTGCCACTTCTTTGTGGAAAAGTGGACACGCACTAGCCTTTGTAACCTGAGCAGATTTCCCAAGCACTTTAGACAACTCCACTGGTAAGGATAAAATATCAAAATGAGTTTATTAACTACAGAAAGATAGATTTTAAGGATTTTAAATGGTAGGCATAAAGGTCAGAGATAGTTACCTTAATCCTAAACTTTTAGTCTAAGCAAGAGTTGAATCAAACAGCTTTTCTCACCCTGACAGATGATACAACCAGGTTACAGTTCCTCTATACACAGACTGGACTCTCTTTCTAGCCTGGGACCAAACTTCCCCAGTTCAAAGCCTTTGTCTTCCAGATGAGCTTCCAGCTGTTGACATGGGGAGGGGCGAAGAGAGACCAAGAGATGATGTCATTTCCCCTCTTTTTTTTTTTTTATTTTCTTCCAGCTTGCTGGAAAGATCCTTGCTGTTTTGATGGGATCAGGCACTTCCCATTGGTCAAGCAGTCTCTATTTCGTACATGATTTCTCTAAGGAGTCTCTGGGATGGTTGATTCTTTTCTTTATAGGTGTTGATGAGCTATTAACACTGTATGGCTTCTGATGGCTACTCCTTTGTTGTAACTGAAAGGTTGGTTTTGGGTGTTCCCAGCCTGACAGCATATTCCAGTAACAACACTGCTCATACAATGGCTGTACATACAATCCAATGGGACATCCGATGAAGTGAGCTGTAGCTCACGAAAGCTCATGCTCCAATAAATTGATTAGTCTCTAAGGTGCCACAAGTCCTCCTTTGCTTTTTGCGAATACAGACTAACACGGCTGCTACTCTGAAACCTGGGATATTTATGTTCAACAGATCAAGACTTTTAAAATGATACCTCAGAAGGTATATTTTGTACAAAACATGTGAACATGGAGGTTCCAGGGTGCTCCTAGTACAGAATATCAGAGGAAGCTAATGGTGTAGGGATTTTGCAAGTTTTAAAGCATTTACTAGATGCCTTTACTAGACGCCTTTAGAGATGCCCTGCCTATAGGGGAGAGGGGAGGGATGGGGTGGTCAGATCACGTCAGAATCATCCAGAGAGGAAGGACGGGTCTGGATGGGACCAGACCCGTGGTGTAAGCTGGAGCTTGTACAGGAGTCAAGAGAGTCTGCGTATAGGTATCACTTCTTTTGAGCTTGTAAACAATGGCAGTTGCTCTGTGGGCAGCTGCAGTCACTCTTCGATGTGGTAGGTTGACATCACCCAGAGTAGCTGTACAGCTGTAAATGCATTGTGATATGTCTTGCTTTCGAATAAGGAACCTGCCCCCTTCAAAGCAGAAAACCGCACTGTCACACTAGTACAGTGGAGTATAGGTATTGTGGATGCTAGAATTACATGGGGTAAGCATGGGGAGTGAGGCTGGAACCACTCTGACTGCCCCCTCCGACTAAAACAATGCTTTTTGTGTGTGTCCTGCACTTGGGTCATCATGTTCACTAGTCCAACTACTTTTTACATGTGATTGTACATTTGATTTCCAGCTTCCCCAGCAATTCAGATATTGCTCAGGAGCTCTTACCTGTAGGAACTTCCGCCCTGAACTGGACTACTAAAATGTTGGGGATAGGTTTTTAATACTGATCTCCACTTGGAGGAGTGGACTGATTGAAATCACCCTTCTGTCTCCCATTCCATTACTTTTTTTCTTAAAAATCAATATAGCTTCTTAACTTCCTCCAGCGACCAAGAAGCAAAAAGTAATAGCACAATAAACAAGAACAAGGAAGAGAAAATTAGGGAAATCAGAAAATGGAAATAAAACTAAAGCATCAGCTTGTGTGATATTTTAATTGTCTATTCTGTTTAATGGAAAGGACTACATCATATTTGAACCACTGCATGGTACTGTTTATGATGCAGGCGAGTTCAGTTGGTACATGTTCTTACCATTTTGAAATGGTGTTACATATGTTGTATGCAACGTTGTTGTAGTCATGTTGGTCCCAGGATATTAGAGAGACAAAGTGGGTGGGGTAATATCTTTTATTGGACCAATTTATTGAAGAGCTCTGTGCACCTCCAAAGCTTGTCTCTCTCATGAACAGAAGCTGGTCCAATAAAAGATATTCCCTCACCCAACTTGTCTCACCACAGCTGTTGGGCTGATCTGCTGACTTGTACCTTCACATATAATTGCAGCTTGTCTAAAACAGAATTTGTATTTTTTCCCATGTATAGTATAGCAGTAGCTTAGGCTGGCCGGCTTGCAGCACATAGAGAGAAAGTAAAGGAGTACTTGTGGCACCTTAGAGACTAACCAATTTATTTGAGCATGAGCTTTCGTGAGCTACAGCTCACTTCATCAGATGTGTGATGAACATCTGATGAAGTGAGCTGTAGCTCACGAAAGCTCATGCTCAAATAAATTGGTTAGTCTCTAAGGTGCCACAAGTACTCCTTTTCTTTTTGCGAATACAGACTAACACGGCTGTTCCTCTGAAACCTGTCAGAGAGAGAAAGT